GTGTTTCCAGCTCTTTTTTTACTCCTTCCCTTTCCTGCCCTCTCCTGTTCCTCCCTCCCCTTCTTATTCTGCGATAAGAAACGTGATACTCTGAGTTTCTGCTAGTTTGTGCAAGAATATTCGTTTTGCATGGAGCTGTAGATGGACCTTCTTAGCTGTCGTTTCTTAAGCCGCTCACAGCTGTCACCTCTTACTGAAGTTTCTAGTTGCTCGTCGTAGTGTATACAAGTGTTTCACAAAGTACATGTGTCGTTACGTGATTTTACTGGCTTACCATAACTTTCTTGTTACAGACGGTGGGCCGCGGAATAAACGACGCCGCTATGGCCACAGCGGCACTGTGGATGACTTTCCTTTCCTGCTCGGTGGGAATAGCAAGGATCCGCTGAATTTGAAGTCGGTGAAGCCGGAAGAGGAGGTGCAGGATGTGCAGCCAATTGACATCATCATACCCAAAAACATTCATGACCCACTGAATTTACGCAATGTGAACAAAAATCGCGCTAAGAGGTTTGCATTTTCTCAACTTATAAAATCTATTTTTTTTTTTTGTTTTTTAGACTTTAATAAAACGGGCACTTAGTTTAGAGTAAGCATATGTCAGTCTGCTGTCTTCCCCGGTCAGTAATGTGCCTCAGTGTGTGGTAGCAGTGAGAATGAGTTGCTGTTTAAAACATTTCGAAACATTCGTTGAGATTTAAAATTTGCCAAGTGCTTCTGTTGGAGAGCTGAAAGGCGAAACGAGCGTCAGGATCGAGAGCAGACTGTAGACCATCAGATGGAACAGCAGAGGTCAGAGCAACTGGAAAAGTTTCGGGCTTCAATAGACGCCACTGCGAACCACAAGTGATCATAATGACTGTGAATTACAGCTGCAAATAGACCTTTTCCTGGTTGTCCATTTATTCGTGGTGTTTTTGGCTTCCTCTATCCTCATAAGTATCGACTAGTCTCATTTCCGTAGCAGACATTAAGCCTCAAATATTTCTTGTTTCACCGAGATAAAGAGAAAACCTCCTTGCAGCACCTAGAGCCATGAAAAAAAATTTTTTTTAATTTTTGTTCCCGTGAAGTTGCAGTTC